ATTTTTTTATATTTTTAAATCTCAATTTCTTTGTTCGATACTTTTTGTGCCTTGACTACCCTGGGGGTTGGTTTTTGTTACAAGATTTAGCATTTATGTTCTCAACACTTTGTTTTGCAAATGATTGTCTCTGATAATTTTTGATCAGTTCATTCTTTGAGGAGAAGTGCAACTTCAAAGGAAAGCAGCGATGATCAGAGTGGCACAAATGGCCTGTCCACTAAGTTTATCATTCTCTTCGTTATTAACTTCTGCATTTTTTATTATAGCGGAATGAGCCAACAACACAGAAGTTATCAGCCATTGCACTGATAAACAGCCATATTGGGACTTATATATAGCTTGTAGCTTAAGAGGAGAACAGCTTTACGATTTGATCAGCCATACATCCAGTAAAGAGGCCTTCGTCCTTGTGTGTGTTTGTGCGTAGGGACCTAATGGGACACACAGACCTACACCAAATGCAGTCAAATACACTTGGAGTATAAATTACACATTTCTTTCCTAACCTACAGTGGACCCTCCCGGACAGAATCTAAATATAGTGCTGCCACCCTTTTACTCTAATGTTTCCAGGAAAGAAAGAGAAAAGGAAGCCAATGGAGGAAAGTTTTCTTTCTGTAGTTAATATTTTAGATCTTCAGGTTTCTTAATCTAACCATAATAAATCAGAGTCTCACAGTCATCTCATTGACAAATTTGCAAATTAACAAAAAAAGCTGAGTGTAAAGGAAGACACATGTTCGAACACAATTTTTACAATGGAGCTTTAGTCAAGCCTTAAAATGGACCTGCAGATGTTTTTCTTCATCCGTCCCATCACTGAATTTTAATCACTTCAAATCAGTACAAATAGTTGCAATACAAAATGGCGGGATGCCCTTGCATTGCTGTAAGAATTTTTTAATTTGTAAGACAATAACGCTAAATAGAAGAAACCTAATGCTGCTGATCTTAAAAGAGAGAGATTAGCTGATAATCATGTGATTTGTGTGATGCAGAATAAAGCAATAGACAGAGCATGGGAATATTTACAACATTAGACAATTGAAAATTTTGCTTACCGCCTTTTAAGTCAGCTGCTTTATTTTCTCTTTTAAAATTTTTGAGAGTCTGGCCATCACTTTCTGTAAAAAAAATCAAAATATAATTATGCCCAGTGATGTCATTATATTGATAAACCATCTATTTTTGCTGCTTGTCCATTTTACACACTCGGGAATACTTTAGTCCCTTATAAAGTGAAAAAAATATCTCTGATAATCTTATGGTAGGTATTTGGCAATGTTCTTTTACAAACATTTTGTAAAATACATTACTTGTGCACCCATCAGATTAATACTTATAAGGAAGCAAAGCGCAGCTTAATGTTAGGTGGATCAAAAGCAAGATGGACAGAAAACCTCTGCCCAATGTACAAGGAACCTACCACTAGTTTTCATCGAAGTAAAGCAGAGACGAAACCATCTTGCTGGCCATCTTCCTCCTCCTTTTCTATTTTCCTCTGTTCTTTTCCCTTCTTTCTTTGTTTTCTTTTCTTTTCTTTTCTCCCCTCCCTTTCCTCTTGTTTTCCTTTTTTTTCCTCCATTGTTTTCCTCTTTCTTTTGTCTCTCTTAAGATTAAAAAAGAACTTACTCTAATGATCTTTCCCAGATTCACCAGTCATTATTTAAATTACTTACCTGTTTTAAACAACTCGTCGCTTGCAGAAAATTCTAACTTGAACCTGCCAAAAAAACCTGAAGTAAGGATTTCCCCCTTTTAATGAGTTTTCCCCAAGTGTCAAATTCAAGAGGAAATGTCAGGCAAATTAATTATTGTTAGGCTAGCAGGTAGTTCAAAATTAGTAATTGAAGTCAGTAGAAGAGAATTGGTAATTGTGAGAGTCACAATAGCTATTTTGTAAGTTTTAAACAGTTTAGTCCCCAAGTGTTTCATTTCCATCATGTCTTTCCTGTTTGCCTCCTCACACTATCTATCTTCCATGTCTGTGCTTATTCAAAGTAGATGTTGCTGGATTTGTGCAATTACATTCCGATTAGGTTTCCTCATAAATACTTACCTTTAAGCCAACCCACCTATATCACACATTTAACACAAAAGTCAATGTCTATGCCAGATTAATCTGTAGCTGGCAGCAACCATGGGCAATATGAAGTGTCAGGTTTGAAACTCTATACAATGTCCAATTTACATTCAACTCAGTTGACAAAACCAAAATTATCTTGTTATATCCCCACATACATTTTGCTTCATTTTGTAGTCGGGTTATTTTTTTATAAAAAGAAATTATTAATCTCAATGCCACTGTACAGAGTGGTTTGTCTGACATTTATCCAAACTGATGCCATTACAAGATGATTACAGGTAGAAGTTTCCAGTTCATTATAAATGAATCATTTTCATTTAAAAAACTATTAGGCATGAATATGGTAAATTGTAGTTTAAATGGCCATTTCAAGATTCAATCAGGTTTTAAAAACTTTACTCACTTATGGGGTTTTAACAGCAAAGAAAGTTAGTGACTTTTACATTCAGTTTTCATGAAGGTAAACTGTGACACACACTTGCACTGGCTTTCTTGTTCATTGTCATAAACTTAGTGTCACTGCTATCATGCAATACTTTCTCAATTATTTATCATCAAAGTTTTGGTGCATTAGCCACCTTTCAGTTCCCCTTCTTGTTTAGCCAAGGTTATATCAATAACCCCAAGAAAATCCAGCAGTGTGACACTTACCAGATTTAAAGTTGGGCTTCATCTAACTGTATTTATCTGAACTGACTTTAGTTGATTAAACTTTTGTTATTAGTCAATTGAGAGTCTGATAACTGACCAAACTAACAAACACGTAGTCCTGTTTAAGCAACTCCTTCTCTTACCATTACAATTTCTAAGAAAAAATATGTATTCATCAAAAGAAAAGCTTGTAATTCCAATCTTTGGACACCTAACCATTACAATCTTTGACATGAACACACTGAGAAGTTCTAGAAACAACTTCCTACATTTTGGGAAATACCTACCTTGGAATGCTATGCTATTACTACCGGTTATTGCACTAAACTCTGTGATTTGTAAGTTCATTTGAGTATACTCAATGCCAATACTGATGTAATTTTCTAATAACAGATGTCCCAGTACAACCTTCTGATTACACGGGGTAATTTAGTATTGTCAACTGAGTTGATAACGTAAATTGGCCACCATAAAGAGTTTTAAAGCTGATGTTTCGAGTGCTAGCCCCTCGCCATTCGCTCTGACTGCCTACATCTACTGATCGTAACAACCTCACGTGAAAACGCTGTTCGATATTGGTACTTACTCAACTCAAATGAAATTTTTACCTCAACCGGATTCTTAGTACCATACTATAACCTCACCTCCTGTAGCATTCGATGGTTGCTTGTTCTTAGTTTTACCTAAATTTCTCAAGCTTCTCAAAGCATTTGCCATTATTCTCCCAGAATTACTATGGACTTTCGTTCTGTTCTTCCTGTAAAAAGGGTTCCAGTCGAGCAGACATTGGGTATGTTAATTTGATCAACAACTGTGGAGTTCTTAATCTCGAGCCCAGGGTCATTTCTGGGCATAATATTTTCCGTTAGACGGAAACATAACGAGTTCTAACAAGAATTCTAATTGGATGAAATTCTTGCTTTTTGGCCAACAAGATCAATCGTTATTCTTGCTTCACTTCCTTAAGAATTTTGATTAGTTTTAAGAGAATTCGGGAACCAAATTGTAGTTATCACAACTGACTGGAGCTGGCTGGAACCGAGTACCGATTTGTAAGTAATCAACGAAGTAACTAATGACTGGGTGTTAAGTCACGAGAGAAATCGTTGAGAATTTGGACACGTTATAAGGAATAGAATGGGGAACGAAATATGGTCGATTTGCAACGATAAATATTTCGAAATATGAATATTTTACACGTAAAATCAATAGAATTTGCTCACATCTTGTGTTTCCGTTGTGGTTTCCCGCGTTCTCTTCCGTTTTAAGCTTTTAAGCTAGTTTTGCCATCGCTAGTACTGTCATTCCTGTTTGAGTTTTTCCATGTTTTAGTGCTTAGTATAGGTAATCACATGATTTCGAGTGCAATTTGGAATAAATAAGCACGAGTGATTTTTTTCAAAGACTAACAAAATTGCACGAGCCCTTAATTATGTGATTACCTGTTAATAATATACATGGAAAAATACGAGATGGTGTATCATAATTAAACATAAGCAAAGCGCGCGCATCAAGTGCAAAAAATTATTTATTGAAACCGTGCGTTCGGTCAAAACAACTGCGTACGATCAAAACAATAATATGCAATGATATCTTCGCATCTTTAAGGTGCAAAAAAGTTCAAAGTCCGGCTAAACAGTTCAAGGAATTGTTCAGTCTGTGTCCGAATCACTTTTGATGAAATGGAATCGTCGTGCATGTTTGTTTTTAATTTCGGCGTTGGATCGCTCGAGCAAAGCGTTAAGCCGGGTTGGCTCGTAATTTTCGATTTCCTCGGCAATTCCCTTTTCTAAACACCACTTTTTCCAAACCGACAACCAAAAAGCAGTTTCTTTTACAATGTTTTCATTGTTTAAGTTCTTTTTCAGCTGCGGTGGCGAAACAAAACCTACTTAAAACGCCGGCCATTGTTTCGCTCGCAAATTTTCAAATTTTGTTGCGACATCCAAGGCTCGCATTTGATTGGCTATCCGTGAGTTTCTTTGATTATTGACCAATCAGAATGTCTGATTTGTTTCTTTCTTTGCACTGAATTAACCCTCTTCTGCACTCAATTAACTCTCTTCTGCACTGAATTACCTGAAAACTGCATTTATCTTGACCAATTAGAAATGAGTAATTTTTCCATGTATATTATTAAGGCACTAAAACATGGAACCACCTACAACCACTTCAAAAATTTCAACAACCACCTACAACCACCTCAAAAACATCTACAGCCACTCGCAAACTATCTAAATCCATCTAAAAAGAGGCATAAATGTCCAAAATAAGGCGAGACGACAAGTCACGTACATGAAATACGAGAATCGAACGAAACCTCCACCTCCCCCTGAAATCTTCTAGGTGGTTTTAAGTCGTTCCATGTTTTAGTACTTACGGTTCAAATTCTGAACGGAATCCTCTCTCGTAATTCTCGTATTCCTCTCGTAATAACACGGAGTCACCCAACGCGTGATGCTTTCATGAATTAATTGTTTGCTTTCTTGAGACGTGAGCTTGGGACACTTGTGCTAATATTTTGTCCAGTCGGGTGTTGGACTAACAAATTTTAGACTCAATGATATTAGTTTCCATATATACTACATAAACTCAAGTGTGTATACTCAGTATACAAAAAAAGGCTCCAGGGTTAATTTGTTACAGTGCATTGCATTTTCATTTAACTTTGCTGCTTACTTGGCCCAAAACGTTTTTGTTTTTTATACTGACTCAACTTCCGCCCAGTTTGATTAAAATTTTCACTTTATGAAGAGAAATCGGAGAAGAGTTTTTGGATTTATTTCTGATCATTTGTTCTCTCGAACTTCTGACAACACAAGCTTGAAATTTTATGGACTAGTCAGTATTTATCCCCTGAGGGGGAGGGAGAGGAGGATTTTGGTTGGGTCACGATTAAGTTTACATCCCCCTATTAGGCTGCGTAGTATTCTGATAATTTATCATCGGCAATAATGCTCTTCATGGTTGATCTGTTTCTACAACTTTCCAAAAAGGTTTTAACCTTATTTCATTTTAACTCCTCTGGTACAGGAAAACTCTGAAATCAATAATCAGAGAGAAAATGGCGTGTGTGACACAACGGACGTCCAGAATTGTCTACGTTCTATTTCATTTGATCGGCAGTCTTGTTATTTGCGCCAATGCAGACGTAATAACTAATTGCTCCAACGCCGCTACTTGTATTAGAACCTATGCTGACATCTACAATTCCTTAGCATCAGATGAGAACAGTTTTAACATTTCATCCGCCTTGTATCCAGCAAATGAGCCTTCCTCAGTTCTTGTCTTCGTCAATATATCTGTTCAGATTGGACCTGATAAAACAGGCGACAATGGTGTAAGGGAATACACATGGAGTTTGAGAAGCCTTTATGCTGCTTTTCCTGCTGTTTTCCTTGAGATCTCATCCCTTTCCTCAATACTGGTGACCGCACGCACGCGAAACCTAACCATCACAATTCCATACTTTTGCTGCAATGTTTCAGAGGAAGACAGGAATAAAAGGATTAAAGATGTACTGGCTGCCGTAAGTATTTTAGCTATTTCTAGCTATTTTATAAAAGTGCACATTCGCGAATTTAAGATGTTAGCACAATGCGCAACAAGTTTGCTCAAACGTTCCGAAAGGTATCTGATGAGTACTTTAGCCATGACGAAATGCAGCGTATTACCAGCCACGAAGTATTTTTCCACAAGCATTTCACAATATTTTATGGCAGAAATGAAATGTCCGTAATACTAAAGGCAATCATTCAACTAAATTGAAATCTCACTGTACCTTAATCGTCAATCGTTTACATTTTTCTTCTGTACAAAAATATTTCGGAATCTTACTCACTGATACATTTTGAGTGGTTTATGTATCAATATCCTTTTCTAAGTACTTTGAAAATGAAAAGTTTATACCCTTCTTAACTAACAGGTATCTTTTTACAACCCTAGCTCTACAGGGGCTATTTCTGTAAAAAAGCTACTGTCCCATGTGTGGAGAGGTTCAATTATTTTAAGTCGCTAAAACGAACATTTTACAGGTTAGGTTAGTTTTTGTGCTTTTCCAGTTGTCTGTGTTCATGAATTGAGTGTTCCAGATATCTTGGTCTAAACTTGATCTTGTAAACCACTCCTTGTCTTTTGTTAGCTATGCCCTTTTCTTATGCCATTCATTTAGCAATGGTTACAGCGTAGCTATCAGTCCATAGGCTGCCGGCAAGAATAGTTAGGTTATGTTAGGGTTGTAAGATTCTATCATTTTGTTCTAAGAGAGCACAGTAACGAGGCCGGCGACCCGATTGGTTCTTAGGGCTGGCAAAATTTTCCTATCTCTGCCCACAGGTAGTGCTAACGCTTCGTTAAATTGTCTTGCTATATTTTCGTGAATGAATTAGCCAGTAATTGTCATTTGTTTTACTCATTTCACCGCGTCGGATTGCATAAGCGCTCATTTTTAGGCGTCTAAGTTGAAAACACTACAAGAAATTCCATCAAATTTCCATTAAGGAAAACCTTTGCTGACCTTCATGGGTGGAAATGCTTATTTTTCGACTTCTTGAATCAGTTTGTGCGAGTAATATAGTTGGCTAATTATATACAATATCCATGACTTCAAGCCTCAAGTCAACGTATCAGACAAGAAAAGGGCGAGCTTGGATGTACCGTTGGAGCATCAGACCAAGGAACATCCGAGCCCGCAAATAACATATACATAACATTTCTGCTTTCGGAAAATCAAGGAACATGTTACAAAGTCTAATTTACGGTTTGCTAAAGGCCGTTAAATTCGAAAATGATGACATGCATCCGCTCAGGTTGTCGAAACCGCTGTCAATGATCACTATCTCCGGAACTGCTTGAATAAAATACTTCTGCTATCACCAAAAACGGTTCTTCACTCTCACATGCTCTACTCTTATAGTCACTTCTGCTGTCTAATTCTTTTTCAGCTTCAAGACCTTGCTGTAATTCCTGGCTTGCGAGATCCACGTTTGAATTTTGCAGAATCCGTCATAGAAGGGCACACCCCAGGCATGAACACTACTGGACGTTCTTACTTAAGGGTAGTTTTGTGGTTTTCTTTCCTGTCTCCCATGATTTTGGGTCCATTTTTATATTTTTGGGTGTTACAATATTTAAAAGATGATACTCAAGGTAGTTCACTCTTGGAGGATTGCGATGGAAAACGTTATAAGTGTAAATATATTTGTTGTGGTAAAGAAAAACCACTGATACGTTCAGTAACTATATTTTGTTGCGTCCTGTTGCTGATAGAGGTTATATTTGTTTCTGTAAGTGTGAGTGAATCTACCGAAATTTCAAGAAGAGGAAATTTGTCGAGTGTTTTTTATGCACTCATTGTGCTTATACCAGAGTGGTTAATTATATGTTGTTCTAACTGCCTTTGTTGTGCAGATTTGGATATCAGTTCATTTTTCAGCAGATTACTGCTTATCATGTGCACTAGCTTTGTTAGTTACCATTTCAGCTGGGTTGCAGTGGGTATCATGGTTAATCCAGCTTGGGGCGTGTCTATTTTGCTGATACTTTCCTTTTTTTTCATTACCTTATTTTTTGTAATCAATGAAACAACCCACTCAGATGACTCCTGCCTTTCCACCTTTTTCGCATATACACCTGGCTTCCTTTGCGTTGTTGTTGTTGTTCCTCCATTATTAGTTGGGCAGTCATTTTATGGCAGGGAAACTGCAGATGATATTCTAAAGGTAGTATTATTGCCTGTTATCGGTGCTGTGTCATGGCTGTCCTTCAAATCCCGCAGAACTTCCTCAGATACTTCACAGTTTATTAAGGCTGCAAAGGAAGTAGCAGCAGCAGCGAAGGCTCTGGCCGAAAAAATAACTGTAGCTCAGCCTGATGGGACTGGGGTTGATTCTGTAATTGCGAGAGCTGCTACAGCTACATCCTCTGCAGCTGTTGCAACTGCAGCGGCGGCTGAAGCTGTTGCTGTTGCTTTGGCTGCAACTGAGACTGAAAATTCAAACACTAAAGCCGTGCGACGTAGGGACAAATTAAGCAATGAGAGAGTTCCCCTGAACGAAATGAAGTAAAGTGCCTCTGAACGTTAGAAAACCGAGTCCCCATCTTTGAATCGATGTTGGTCTGCTTCCCCACTTCCCCATCCTCTCTCTTGCCTTTCGTGCACACTATCTAAAAAATTTAATCCTTATCTTCTTGCCTTAGTTTTAATGGTGGTGACCTAACTGTTTATATAAGAGTACCAAGCGTTCGCTCGTCATGCAAAAAATGCTCCTGCTTCATATTAAGGACAAATAATGATAATACAATAGTTTTAGCTAGAGATAAAATTCAGTCCTAGGGGCTTATGTGGACTACTACGTGTTTGACTTCAGTTTGCTTGCTCCTAGAGAGCTTTAGTTCTTATTTCTTAGTTTACAACATGATATCGATTTCCTGTGATGTATTTGGTACACACCTTGTTGATTTAGACTTCATAGGAATAAAAGTATGAAAGCAAAGATATTTTATTATCTTGTTCAATCGTACATTCGAACCTCCACTACGGCGTGACTCTCGTTGAATATGACAATCTCATTCATCCTTACTGAAATAATTTCTCATCTCCCTTTGACGGCCAGCTTTCTTCGACATCCAGCAGTTTCCTCTGCCCTTAAAGTGGCCGTAGTGGAAAAGTTCGACCGTATCTACTATCAGTAGCGTTTGAACACATAAGAAGGAAAACGTTTTGTAACCATAGATCATACAGCATATCAGATTGATGCATTTTGAATTCATCTCTTAATGCAATTGTTTAAATAACTATTCCTTTTTTTCTTCTTTGTAATTAGTGCTATGATTCACCAAGACTTGGACGTTTATCATTAATAAAATAATCCGTCAACATTGCAATAGTGCCAGTTTTACTAAGTCACAAACATCAATATCTTCATAGTATGATGATGTTACCATAGTCTAAGTATGAAACTCACTTTCACTCTCATCGATTGTCTTTGTATTTTAATTTTTTTTATATATTTCCTTTGTACTGCAGTTTTACTCTCGTGTTAGGCAGGCATTTTGTGAAAGGAAAAGTATCGATTAAACTATGAACATGGCGTTTTTATCGGCATCTTACTGTAATGTTATGGATAGTTTTGTAATCTCGAAGGGATAAAACTTGTCACCCGAAACTCGGTTCCTCTGCTCCTCTAATAGGCGGTGGCTTCGAGCTCCAAAAGTAGGTTAAGGAGGAAAAGGTTTGCTCCCGAACTCCTCACTACAGAATGAGTGTTTAAATACACACACTCATAGCCCTGCTATTGATTCCAACGTAACCATGAACTTTTTAAGGCCTGAGAAGGATTTAAATCAACAGGAAAATTTCCGTACCAAGTTCGAACTAGGTGCTTTCCACCTGAACAAAAACTATGATTTACCCAGTAACAAAGAGAGCATCAACTTCTTTCATGTCCCAGCTCAGCTGGGGAATATAAACGATGCCACGCGGTTTTTTTCTAGCACTGCGACCGGTTTTCTCTACTTTAAAATCATTAACAGCCCTTCAGAGTTAGAAGATCATGAAGTATGAAAAGGTAGAAATTTGTTGCTTTTCAGGAGAAACAGTTTCCAACCACAAATGGAAGCATCGTTTTGCTTTTGGTTCCTATCTTTTAGTTTATCTTTCTTGTAAACTTCGAGCCAAAATCAGTTTATATTTTTTCCTTTTAATACCAACTCTCTCCAGAGTAAAGGGGGTAAGTATCTAAAGAAACTGTGGTGTCCAAAGTAAGTGGACTTCAAAAAAGAATCGCGAATATCATGAATAAGAACTGTGCAGTTATCATTAGAGTCTTTGAGGAAATTTAATTTCTGAGAGTCGATTAGGGGTACTCTGAAGAGATCGGTGGCTCTCAAATGACATGCCAATAAAATGCGACACAATTTTTACCATACTTCCGTTTAACGACTTATTTAAAGTGGTTTTGGTGAATGCTCGACTGAATTAAAGGCAAATGAATACAGAGATAGGTTTCCCAAAAAAATGTGGTGCCGCGTCGGTGGGAGAGTATAACAGGGTAATTTTTTATTATCAACTGAGTTGATGACATAAATTGGCCAACGTAAAGAGTTTAAAAGCTCATAAAATGCAGTGGTCGTTTCCTCTTTTCTCGTTCCTTTCTCAGACTCTTGCTAAAGAGACCCTCGCGAGTTGCCCTCGCGCATGTTCTCCTTGTGCCGGGTTACCAAGCTGTATATAGCGTCGCTGATCAACCGCTGATCAAGGTGGCGATAAAAATCGTAGTACTTCGAATTCGCCATGTTTTAGCCTTGTTGTAGTGATTTGTATTGCGGTGTGGGAAACCCCATTCTATGGAATGATGCAAGCAGGACAAAAGCTGGGGATTGTGTACATCGGAAAGGCTGGTGGCAAGGTCTGTGCGGAAACGTTTCGACTGGTTTCATTTACTTACCTGTATTTGATCGGATCAAGAACTACGAGTTGATTTGTAATCTTGCAATTTAATTTGTTGATGTTCTCATGATCAGTTATTTCAGTCGTCTCGTAAGCAGTTCACTTGTTTGATTTTTCATGTGCAGAGTGCAGCCTATGTTAAAGAATCTTTATATCTATTAATAAATTCACTCTTAGGAAATGTAGTGCGAATTAATTGATGTATAGTTTAGAGTGTAACTAAATTATTCCTGACATGCAGGTGAAAGGGGAACCCTTTTCAGCTGAAAAATTTAAGTCTCATTTGTTGGTGAAGTCTCATGTAAGATTTACAGCGCCCACAAGGCTTAGAGGAGGGATTTACAGTATTCAGTTACGTCCTCTGGGGGGAGTTTTCGCTGAGGAATCTCTTTAGTTACTCATTGCTATTATTATTATCAATTTTGTGGTTTTCTATTTCGATCCACATGTATAGAAAATCAGCCTGATAGGAGGAAATAGTGGAATCTGACAAAGTGAATAATATATCAATATATTGTAATGTAACCTTGTAAATGGATTCCATACTTCTTGAGGTTTCGTTACTGTACACACGATGAAAACTACTGTTGGGCTGCAGAGCTTATTATAAATTTTAATGGCCCAAGGCACCAAGGAGGTAAAGATGCAGCATAAAAAATCCACATAGCAGAATAATTCCCCCAGTTTGCTCTTTTGTAGGTTATCTTTGGTGGTTAGTACAGATCCAATCTCTGGGGCCACTCTGCTAGAAAAGACCATTTTTTATTGCTTAAATCTTCATCACTCATTTGATGCATTTTCTGAATGTTTTGTTAATAAGCACTATGACAGGATGTGAATTACCTTTTGTTAACTCATAACAATTTTTTTGTGCTTTAACATCACTCAAATTTTTTTGTCTTACTCCTTGTTTTTCTTCATACCATCCTTTGTAGCACAAATATTCTCTTCTTGACGAAAAAGATGTTCATCTAGTGAAAAAGTTTCGATTTGAGGTGGGTGATTTCAATTTTCTCTTCCCACACTAACTCAGTGAAACCTTACAGTGTTTATCAATTCTTTTTTTGCGTTGCCAATGCAAGGTTCATCCAAAATCAAGGGTCTGTGCATTAAGTTATGGACCTCATTTTTTCAGCTGATATTTATAGCAGTAAGGAAAAGCATTCAGACTATAAATCCAAGGGGTAAGAAAACAGGGGTCTGTAACTTACAGTGGTGACCATGGTAACGAGATTGGTACAAAATTTAATCTATCTCTTGATTCAAATAGAGAGGAAGAAATCAAATCAAACAAACTTTTGAATTTAGCAGGCCATACAGTGAAATACTGCCTGCTAAATTGACCTACCATATTGCAGATTTTAATTGAGAGATATAATCTGCTACATTATTGTTTGTTGTTTTGTAACTGGAATGCAAAACATAGTCATTTTAAGCAAAGACGCTTAATATTCAAAGATGCTCATGTGCCTGTAAGGTGTCTCTGAAAAATGACTTATTAATACTTGATTTGCATTTGAAAATTTTACGTAGCATCATGCTATTACACTTGTATGCTGTATGGATTCCTTTTCCCTGTGTTTAGTTTTTGGATTTACGGTAAAAGCTTTGTATTGTTTCATCAGGCAAAAGTTGATGTCAATAAAGATGGTAATGGTGCTAACATCTTTGCATATGCATTTGACTTGTCAAGAGAAGGAACAAGTGGATGCTATTTCCATGAATATATTTGGTAAGGAAGTGTTTTGTTGCCTCTCTGACTAGCCCTTAAGAGAGAATGTTTTCCAATCATTAAATAAACAAGAATGTTGTTAAATAGTAGTGAGTCTTGCCTTTTTTGTTTAATAAAGGTAACTCACCCTTGAATAACTTATGAATTCTATGGCTTGGCATTTGTCTGGCAAAAATTCTGAGAACAGTAGTCTAATTTACTAAGTACATGTATAAAGAAACGATAAATAAATAATTAGTTCTGAGTTAACTGAAAGGGACCTTAAGGCATTTACAACTACACACTTCCAATAGTGAAACATTACCTTAGATGTACATGTGAAATCTGTTGTCTAAAGCAAAGTAGTGTGATGATACATACCTGTATTGCACCATATTATTTGTATGTGCAGAACCATGACTGGTCTTCATAGAGATAATCATGATTATATGATAATGGCTGTATATATTATTTGAAAGTTCATAATTTTGAAAGTATTTTTCTAACAATCAAAACAATGTAGAATGTAATGGAAAGTCATGGAAGAGCTTATGATGGATTTTTTTATGCACTGTCTGATCTAAACAGGATGTAAAGCTTAGGGTGAAGTTTGAATGACCAGAATCATTTCATTTGTTTATCTTCTGTAAACACTTAATTTTTACATTTAATACCTTTGTTCTTGTTTTTACCTTAGGGAGAGACATTGTGGTGGCATAGCACCTGGCTTTAGAGTTTGTCACAAAAATGGTGTAACAGTTGGTAAGTTATCATTAGAAATTTTAAAAAATCATTTCTGAAACAAAACATAAGGATAAGGAATTGCCTTTGAGTTTTCAGCATCCTGATAAAGTCATTAATTTAATGAGCACATATTAAGTTTAAAAACCCATTTGAGTCAATTCAGAGAGTGGCTATTATCATTAATTGGATTAAAGATGAATGTTATTTATCTTTAGTTATTGTTTTAATTTTACATACAAACAATTTTTGTGCCTACTGATGTTAGAGATGTTACGGTGTTGTGTAAGTCCGTAATACTTTCTCAAAAGGTGTTTGCCACTTCCAAAGTGGCAAAGTTTTGTATAAAATACATTTGATGCACATTCAATAAATGTATTTATTCTGTCCCCAGCCTGTCAATTAACCAATGCACAAGTCTGTTCCAGTCAATGCCTCCATTTGTCACAATTTTGGCTTTGACAACAGCTGTTCATTAGCCCCTTTGGATTTTACACCATATTACTCTTTTACTGCATTACTCTACAGCTGTACAACAGTAGGCATATGCTGTCATAGACTGACTTTTATTTAATTAGTCTTCAGAAACTTCTCTTAAATGATTGTCTGTTATCATATTTTACTGTTGTGCATTGCAACTATTTGAACAGCTTTCAGGAAAATGATATGAACTTTTTCTACCTTCATCATTTTGTTATTTCACAGACAACAGATTAAATAACTTGTGTGTAGTACCATCCCCTCAAAGCAAAGACTCAAAAGTAAAGTCCAGCAGTGCTGATAGGTACAGCAGATATGTCATCATCATCATCATAATTATTAAGTTATTATCATTGTTGTTATCATTATTTTGACATTAACTAAGATTTTAATGTTATGAAGTGGAAAATTGTCAATGGGAGATGACTCAAGATGTAGAGGGAGGCTTAAGCAAGCCTAATTGTGATCTCTTAGTCTTCCTCTTTCTGCTGTAAGAGTTTGAAGACAAAATTTTTTT